AACAGCAGGCGAGAAACTAGGAAAAGAGGCAAAATCTCTCTATGATCGAGGCATGGAATCCCTCAAAGCCATGCTTCCACTCTATGATACTGGCTCAGGAACAATCTACGACCTCCGCCATTTCATGCTTGGCTCTGCTCCCAATCTGGCCCGGTGGGACTACCACACCACCCACATAAACCAGCTCCAGCTATTGAGCACGATCGACGAGTCGCCTATTTTCAAAGAATTTGTCAGGAGATGGAAGAGCTACCTTAAAGGCGGCAGGGCAAAGCACAACTAGAGCTCACAACCAAAACCACGGATCAGCGATCTGCTGTTGGCGGGAATTAATGGACTCCTTAAAGCTAAACAAAAGTACATTTTAAAAGGTGGCATACTAAGTTTTTGTGGACTCTTTGAAAGTGGTCCTCAAAACTGATCTTCAGAAGTAATTGCATTCCAGCATGGGAATATTTCTGTCTGGGAGGTGGAATTTGAAACAGGGATCCAGTCAAAGGACTGAATAAAAGCTGGTAACCTTAACTTGTTTACCTGCCTGTAGTGTTCCACAGTGAAATTATTCACACTGAAAAAACTCATTTGTACTCCTGAGTTTGTTGGGGAAGATTTTTATTTTTCCTTTTTGTAGGAAAAAGATAATTCACGGAAGCCATATAGGTCTTTAAAGTCCAGTACTTGCCTAAAAAGTTAGTATGTGGCCTCTTTTAAAATGGAATAATCTGTGTACATGTTTGAAACAAAACTACAGATCATGTGGTGTAATGCAGTAAATGTGTATTTACTTGTAGCCTGGGTAGTCAACAGTGTATCTTATAAAAAGTGTTTCTTTTATAGACATTCTTTTCTTGGGGGAAGGTGAGTACACAACATTTGTTTTTAAATTCTATATATTGAGAACTACGTTGAACGTACGGTTTCTTTAAAGACGTGTAAATGTAAAACGCAGCCAGCGTTCAGGCTCCTTACGTTATGTAAGCACAACTCAAAGTGGGACTAGTTGACTGCACAAAAACTGCAAGCATACCATTTCAATTCAAATCCACAGTCCTGCTTGAGGCTTGCTAATCAACATTCCCTCCCATGTAGTTGGAATCTCTGGTTGTGGAATCTGAAGTTTTGTACTGTTTTCATCCACACTTCAGAGATTTCTGTATATGGTGACAACTGAGTTCTTTGGGAAATGTATATTGGAAACCTAAAAATGTGGTGAGGGGCTAATTAAGTAGTTAATAGGTAACTTGATTTAAATGACATTAGTATCAAAATGTTCTTTTCTAGTGAGTTAATTTTTAAACTGTTTCTAAAAAGTGGATCAAACATTTTAAATGTTAATATTACAATCGAGCTCTCTAAACTGTCATACCCATAATATTGGCTTAGTTTTTATATTAATTCTCAGAGGTTCTGACAAGCGAGGAAGAGTCCGTGTGCAATAATTAAATGGTCAGGACCCATGCCTTCTGTGACCTACATTATTCAGAATAACCTGACATTTTCTTTTGATTTTTATAAAGTCTCTCCACTAGTCGCTACAAACTTTCATTTCAACATGAGTAGTGCCCTAGCAGATTCATGGCCATAAAAAACCCTTCACGGATCATGAAGTCCGATCTTCCCCTTCATGTTTGACTATTGTAGGGAATGGTTGGGGGTGTCTCAGCTAGGGACTCCTACCATGAGCTAGGGATGTAAAAGTTAGCCAGTAAGCCATTGGCTTACTGGTTTCTGATACGGTGACACACTTCGCTGTGGGCTCTGCAGCATCACTTTTATTCTGCAGAGCCCACAGTTCTACCTGGGAGCAGAGGTGTCAGGGGCTGTCGGCCCCGCCCCCAGGGAGCGAGCTGTCACTCCGTACTGTAGGCTCTTCAGTACACATTATATATTGCAGAGCCTGCAGTGCCTGTAACCGCTAGGATTTTTAGCAGTTCCGTTTTTACACTAGTGTGTTACCGGGGCCTGGCTCCAGCTGCTGGTCCTTGCCCTGGAGGGAGAGGGAGGAAAGGTCCTCTTCCCCTGCAGCAGCTGGAGCTGGGTCAGAGCCACCTCCTGGAACCTTCCTGGGCTGCAGGAAGCTCTGCCGCTGTCAACTGGGACAACCTCCTGCTGTGAGCGCTGAGCCGGTGGCCCCGGCTGTCAGACTGAGTAGTTGCAGAGCAACCCCAGACATGTCTCCATACTTAGAGACCCTCACTCCTGTTCTGTGCGGGTGATGGTGCTGGCTTTACAGCTTATTGTCCAGCCAGCAGCCACTGCCTCTGGCTTCCCAGCTCTGCCAGCAGCAGCACAGAAGTGAGGGCAGCAATCCCACACGTTCCTGCAGTAGCCATGCAGTCCCCCCGCCCTCCTGGCCCTCTCTTGGGTCAGGACACCCACAGTTACATCACTGTGAGCTTTCAGATGTAATCATCTGACACTGTAAAACTGACACGTTTTTTTTTTAATCCCGTGACTGTGAAATTGACTAAAATGATCCATGAGTTTAGTAGGCTTCTAAACATGTGTATTGCCTTCTTGTAGTTCAGAGAGAGTAAATGAAGCAACTCATCACATCGTTGGACCAATACTGTTCTTTCTAGCAGGCTAACTAGTTGGTGCAGGCTGCATCACATGTGCTAATATTTTGGTCAGTGGAGATTATGAATATGAAACCTTTAAATTGTAGGCCCATTCCAGTATGATAAAGCAAACACGCTAGTTAATGGATTTTTTTCCCCCATTGGTCCTGTTGTATTTCTTATATGTGGTTTAAAAAAAATTACCAAGAAGCATTTTGAGTGGAGAGAGATGTTTGTTTTTGGGTCAAAATAAATTCAAACCACTGAGAGGACAGATGTGGCAGATAACCGTCAGACTTGAAAGCCTTTTCTATTTTGCGCCCCAATGTATTAAACAGGTTTGTAGTTCTTTTGATCTTTCAAATACATAACATGATTGCATTGATTAGGACAAAAAGTAGATGTCACAGCAGAACTGTTTTGAACCCTAAAATCTTTATCAATACCAAAGTGTTCAGAGAGGAGATTTCCCTCAAACTACTATTATATTAATAATAATTTTCTGCAGTGGCTGATCACTGAGAGTGAAAGAGCTCTTTTCTGGTGTGTTTCCTCACTATTATCCCCATTTTGGATTTGGAGAATCAAATAAGAAAGGTTGGGTACTGCTTCTGTGACAAATATCGGTGCCTTAATAATGTGGACACCTTTTCCTACTGAATCAGGAAAAGAGCGTTTAAAAACAAAGTGGCATTGATCTCCCCATGTTTCATACCTCACATTGGAGTCCATCTGGCAGCAGACCAATAGATTTATTAAAGGGATGTCTATGTTACGCAGCTTTTAGTGACCAGGCTGTGTCGACACAGCCCTGTTGATAAGTCGATATGTGTGAATGGTGTTTGTCGGTACTTTTGCCAACAAAACACTTCTAGCCCCCGCGAGAGGCTTTCCCTTTGTTGGCAGGAGAGCACTTCTGCTGACAAAGCAGCATTTGCGCTTGCCCCCACAAAACTTTTTTGTCGTTTGGGGAGGGGCTTAAGCATCCTTGAACAACAAGAGTTTTGTCAGTCATTTGCATGTGTAGACATAGCCGAAGAAACACAGGTTAGTCGTTTCAGATGAGAAACTGATGATGTACCATTCTATTTTTAACACAATCTTCATTGCATTTTTGTTGAGTGCATATGCATGCAAATTAAGCAATCAATCAGGAGTGCTTATGGAACCTAACGTATGGATTCCTCTTAGTTTTAAAAAAAGAAGGGGGCTATGGGAGAGAATTAATAGATGCCAGTGCCGGTAATTTCATTTTATTTGATTTCATTGTATAATGATCCCTTTTGTGTGTGTCTGTTTTTAAAGTGACAAAAGACCTTAGATGCTAAGGTCTATTTAACCCATTCACTGGGATTATTGTACATATATATTTCATCAGAAACACAGTGCACGTGGGTATATGCAAACCAGTGACACACAAGCACAATTATAGAAGTGTGGCAGTGCTGTTTTTCTTGGCCATTGTGCGAGACATTCACTGAAAGCTGCTATTTTCACTCACTTTGTAATTGTACTTTTTCTTTTCTACATTTTACATGGGGGGTACACACCATGTGTTAAATATGCAATAAATTGTTTACAGGATGCCCTTCTAAAGGGTAGTCCTTTGTAAAGCTGTACAGACTTTGCAGTTTAAGCACAATGTGCACATGTTAGTTATATA